CTGCGAATAAGCTGATATTCACACCTTAAGTTACCAGAGTTTGCCATGTTTTCCTCCAGGCTGTTAGCTGTTATTTTGATTGCAAACAAATGTAAACTCTCATAAAAACGTTCCTCAGATAAAAAGTAAAAGCAAACTTTTATCTACCAACAGGAGGCTGGAAGTCGACAAATACGTTTGTGCAATGATTCATGAACACACTTCTCAAACTCACAGAAAAAGGTATCACAGTATATGCGCAAATGATTCTTAGAGGGCCGACTGCCAGTCTCTGACCAAAATCTAAAACAAAACCAAACGACCCCAAACAGAATTATGTTGATAACAGACTGTAGAGGAACTGAAAAATTATTGTTGTGTTGAACAAGGTGTAACAGACAAACATGGTACAAGCCTTCGTAAATGTTATTATCCAACATCCAAACACCAAGAACGCAATGGCCGAACATAAAATGGGTCGCGGTTAATAAAAAAATATATTCAAAAAAAACGTAGCGCAGTCCGACAAATCACAAACGGTCTAATTACCACAGAATGCAAAATGGTATGCAAAGTAAACCTTTGGCGGTGAAATGTTGGAAGTAACAGTAGGCATACACCATATCAAAGAATGATGCGTGACCGAAGCGAAACCACCTAACGCCTAGTAACATAAAACTGACAATTGGACCGGAATTGAACAAAATTGAACTTCTCAGGATATTAAGCCCAGACATAGTGAGCCTCTAACTATACAAATCCTAGCTCGTTTATTGTACGCCAAGGAAACATGTATGAGTCTCCCGTTATTTATGGTCAACAGTTGCCCCAGGTAAAGCTACGAACAGTAGCATCGAAAGTTCACACTAGCAACTAAAATAATTTCCGATGACATAAGACCAACTGCGCTTTGCTGTCGAGAAGGCACATGAGTGAATTGACAGGGCGAAATAACAGAGGTTTGGGAGTAGCTCAGCAAACTATTATCGCTTCGTGCAACAGTGCTTAAGTCTACAGTGAAGGAAGGAACTTGCACATCATAAATGTGGTTGAAGCTTCTTGAACCTGTCTGCTTCATTGTTGTATACTGATAGCATGCGGCCAAACATTTGTCATTTTCTGATTTGTGAGTTCTGTAGAATATTATTTGTAATTCACAAACAATAACGAATTTAATAATTTTTAAGGATCGCGTAGATGTAGTCTACAGTGTAATGAAAGTGCCAAATCCTTGGTATACCAGAACCCGATCATAGTAAAGAAAATTGGGACAAGAATTAGTGAGAGACCCATACTTTCCAACTGATTTCTTTCAAGTATTCTGATTGCCCTAGCACCAACCTGATGCAATCGTTCATACGAAGTAGTCTTCTTAAGAGACAATTTAGGTGTCCTAATTTTTCATAAATTAGAACTATCTTCACATTGAGTTCACACTTCTTTCACGTACTTTCACTTTTGAAGTACAGCTTAGACTACAGATACACTACACACTACAATTTTCATTTTGGCACCTTTTTACCTACTTATCTGTTTGTTCTGAGGAATTTCTTTTAGATTATAAACATTTGATACTTAGCCATCTCAATGTAGCAACTCACGTGGCAGCCCAGAATCTGACTCACGTTCTACCAAAAACCCTCATTTGTGTTGGCACCGCGGCACCTATGGCCAATAGGCTGAGTGTTGCCAAAAACCCTGTAGTTTTACCAAGGATTCGAACTCTGTGTGAAACTACCCTACTGGTACGGGCTAGCTGTAACTGGACCTGGTAGTAATAGCCGAAAACTATGTATTCTCATTGTTCCAACAAAACCCGCTACCTAGTACACAAGGGTTCCAAAGTCATTTTTCTTCCCGCCACAGAGGCAGATCACCAGAAGGAACCTACATTCACAATACGAACTGAATATTTCAGGGAGGGATACATGTTTCTTAGCGCAGACTGACGTAACCCTATTCGGTGGATGTTTTTATTTCCAACTTTACTATGCCTACCATATGCATGGACCCACTTAACTATCAAGATTTACTCGTAGAAATCCGTCTCCGCCGACTGGTACTAACATATTGCCTATTAAGAGGTTTATTTATGCAACTCAAATGTCACTGGTTGAAAATACAACAGTCGATCTTTCATTTCAAACAACAACAGTCACGAAAACTTCGGTAGCACCGATCATCCAAGACCGATGTACGTGAATTGCAGTCTTATGAGACCAGACCCTATCGTCGTGCTAGATACCATACTGACAGAATGCCCACTAGTCCTAGATTGAAGAAAGAGTACAGCGAAGGCAAGAGAAGCCTTTGGTGCGAATAAGAGGAAAACACGTTGTGGATGAACACTGAGATTTCCAAAAATCCTTCATACTTATCTTACAAGGTAAGACCAACATGCCGCAATTCATTATTAAAAATGCGTCTACTCTGATTTCGGTACTTCCTTATGCAAATAAGCTATTTTTCACTGTATCCCGCGTAATAAATTTGTTGTATTTTTATGACTGTACATGTGACATCAGATGTCTAGAAAAATTTTGTGATGTTTCACCTCTCGCATTATATTAACTCCCGCGGTTTATGTATTTCCCCAGCCGACCATTATTTCAGGTGAAATATTACGATTGGGTTCTTATCATTTTTTTCCTTCAGAATACGGAGCAAGGGGCAAATGAAGCACGAAATACAACGGACGAATATCAACGAAGTGATGTGCATATACCACACTGGCATAGGCAACAACTCGTTGACACTATACCCACCGAAGGAGTTTTGCTAATGGCACTAACATCAGCATTTTGCTTCCGGCTGATTTTATCTTGGAGTCACCACGACCTCATTAGGGGAAAAGTGATCTGCGGCGATGAATAACTTTCTAAAATTATCAGCCGACAGCATTCTTCACTTAGCGTTTTGAGCCGATACTTTGATTGGACACTAGTAATTAGTGTTATGCGTCTAGTCCTTTCTTTGGTGCAGACTGAATTCTGTCAGTCAGGTTTGCAATGTAGCCACCGTTCCAGGTAGCTCGCCATCATGGTGCACATTGATTTGATGATATTAGATGGTTGGAGGCAAACGACAAGAAGCCTTAGACCAAGGTTTCGTGCTAGTTGGCACTCATTATTCAGCAAGGCGTATCTGCAACCTTGAAGGAACTCATGTCCCTCCTGAGATTTGAACCCGCCCCCTCCAGTGATGTTGTCAGAGACGTCCAACAGCAGGTCAATCACGGGCCCGAATAGCTCAGTGGTAACGTCTCTGACTGAAGTACTGAGTGATGAGGGTTCGAATCTCAGGAAGGACATGAGGTCCTTCAAAGTTGCAGATGCGCCTTGCTGACTGGTGAGTGCCAACTAGCACGAAACCTAAGTCCAAGGCTTCCTGTCTACTGCCTCCAACCATCTAATATCATCAAGTCGATGTTTGGAGTCGATATTCACTCTTTAAGTGGACTCGTCAAGTTGAAGCTTCACGGTCAAGCATCCAAGCCACTTGTTACGCAGTGGCAATGCGCCCGGTCATTTGTGCGCTATCCCTAGCTTGCTGGTCAGTCATGTCGCAGTAAGATTCTGATCCTGAAGTATGTCTTGTATTTTTAAACTATCAATTTGGCATTCTGGTATGTCTCTTATCTAAGCAGAAGGGATACGATAGGAGTTGGAGGTGAGGAACCTGTGTTTGTACACATCGTAATTTACGTGAAAGTTGACATGCCTCAATCGCTTAAATTGTTCTGGAGAATGGAACTACTCGCCTCAGGAAGTTACTGGTGCCTGTTTATCAAACGCTTCAGTAGTTGTGCAGTATTAAGTGGGACCTACCTACGAAGTTAGAGTGAGGCAAAAGAATCAGCCATCTGTGTATTCGAGACGCGATTCTGCAAAGATATGTAGTAAAATAATAGTAACTGGAATCATCTTTAGTTGAGGCTAACAAGCTAATAGACCCGACGTTTTTCAGTTGATGTAACTGGCTTCCTGGAATAGGATGAGGATACCGCTCCTGGGGTATCGATGTAAAAAACTAAGTAGAGGAAACTAATGGAAATTTTAAAGATCTAGTGATTCGAGGACCTAAAGCCATAGGCTTAATTCGGTTGCTGCTGGAATAGTCGGAAGCACACCAGTGTCTTGCTCGCCAACTATGTTTGATCGATCCTTCGAAGGCTTCTATGTCCGGTTTTTTATTAATAGAAGGTACTATTGGTAGTCTTCTGGTGATGTGAGAACTTCTAATGAGAGTATTACTGAGGCTCCTGATGTTAGCTAGGAGTCAGTATATAAATACACTGCGGAAAATATACCTTTGGCAACGCGAATAATCACAAAATCACTCCAGTAGTTAACAGCACTATAGATAACTGTTATTGGAATATTTGACTTCAGGGTAGAAATGGATGTGTGCATGGCTGTCATTGAGAAATTTCAATCATCAGAGAGTGAAGTCGTCGATATTCTTGACTTTTCATCAGGAACCACAGGAGGAATGTATTTCATGACGTAGCTTAAGGCCTGTCTCACATCATATTCCTTGGTACCAGCGTCATTGTATAACTCGACTGGACGTCTGCATGGCATAATTGTTAAGGATGCAGGAATGACTATGGCACATCACATAGCATATAATGCCAGTCTTCCCTAGAGAATGTCCCCAGCGTTTTATCATTAGTTCTGTTTGTGTGGTTATCCTACGTGGAGAGATAACACAAGGGTTCCAACCGAGATTCACCCCCATCTCTGTAACAGTTTGCAGACCGCGTTAATTACTCCTTGTAACGTTGGTGATCGCCTCATCACCAGTCATATCTAAACTTAGGCCAGCTATTGCTGGAAGTATTGTGGACTATTCAGTTAGTATTTTTGTAGGGGTAGTAGGAATAGCTTTCTTCTTTCATTCCAAAAGCTTAGAACAACCCAGTGGTAAGGAAATTTTATATTCAACATCTAACTGCAGTGCCACAGGCTCTGCGATAACTTCGACTTCTGCTCCTCAGCAGGAGGCATTATTTTGTTTTGCCGGGTGCAGTCAATTCCAGCGGCTGAATCGCAATTATATCTGCGTGATCAAAAATGTCCTTAAGTGAATTCTTCGCCAAACAAAATAAGAAAAAAACCAAGAAAAAGCAAAACCCTGCGGAATTAATGAACATGCTCACAAAAGAAAGGGAGAATATAAAAAGTCTCCCAGAAACTAGTGTTCCACAAGATAATAAACCTGCCATTGCTGAGGTAAGCTCACTACATAGTAGCCTAACTTTTCATTTAGAAAGAGGATGAGTGGGAAATCATAGATGATGAAAAAGAGATAGACTTGCAAAACATCAGAATTAGCAAGCTAACATCCACCACCACAGAAGATTCCAACAAACAATCAGCCAAAAATAAAGAATCTCGTGAAGGCGATGGCGACGCAGTTGTCGAGAAAAAAGTTTGGGCTGCAAAAGTTGCTGAAGCGCGTAAGTGTATTGTTTTATCACATATTTTGTCCTGTACGTTTCGGACGTCAAGAATTTTTGTATTTATGTCAGTTAGCAAAAAAATGGACCCGCTGCACATAATGCGACACCACGTTCAGGACTTAAGGCTTTTTCTGTGGTGGTATACAAGTTTGTCCAAACGTTTCCTAAGTACGCTAGCTGGAAACGTGATATATCCGGTTGCTATAGTTGAGCATAAAAGGCAACACGCCTATGTCAATTCTTTCCTAACAAGTATCTGCTTTGTCTACTCGATTGTTGAACGAATCGACTGAGTGCTTGGATACCATTGCTGTCTCTCAGAGTTAATGATACAGTTGGGGAACCAGCAATTCAAAGCGATACATTTCTTGGGCTTTTTAACTCCTGCTGTCATCTGAGATGTTCTGACCATGCATTAAGTCGGAAAGTTAAAATCGTGGTGGACATATTTATGGTTTAGGATGACAATTATGTGGATACATAGGACATCTGGCAGCGTGCTTGATATCCGGCTACACGTGAGGAGACGTGCACAGCATTTCTCTTCGTCCTGCATTGCGGCTTTCCGGCAAGGGTTGTCAGTTGATTGGTAAGTATGAAAAGGCTAGCTGCCGTTAAACTAAGGTGTTCATGTATTATCTCGTGTGTTAAGGGGTATAATACAGTAGCCAGTGAGTTTAGGCTTAAGTTTATCGTTGGGCTGATGAAGCTACATCGATTGAGATTTCTTACGCATGTGTATCGATACCCTCCTGCCGTATCAACTGATATAGGACTAAATTGGAAAGGAGTTAAAGATGGTTAAATCGAAACATAGTGTCTACCCATAGAGTCTGACTGCTGGGTTGTATAGGCTTCCTCCAAAGTCTAAAAATCAAGGGTTTTAGATTTTCAGTGACATGATTCAAAGGCAAGTATGCACTCATGCCTCCCAATCATTCACACCGAGTAAGGCTTTATTTCCCTCGGTAAAATTGTCCTTTCCGTTTGTGTTCTTTATTCGAGTTGAAGTGTTGAGTTTAAGGATTTTCGTGTTTCAGCTTACTCGCAACTTCAGTGATAAACACGAAATATTCTAACGGTAATTTCCCACTGGTTATGTATAGAAATATTTATAAAGAGTGGGAATAGCGGCTTTGGTTCGGTAGGCATCTTGAGATTTGCAGACTATAGGCTTCAAATGTATACACCACGCTTTTTGTGTTGATTCTGTTGATTAATGTGGCTCGTTAGTACAGAAACGATTTTCTTGTAATCTGTTCATCGTTTCATTAGTTAGAAGCTTATCTATCGAATTTCAGAATGGTTACAGTGTAAATGATTAATTTTTTCTGCTACCACTGAGGATTATGACCAATCATTGCATGTGAAGTAATTCCGAAGAATATACTCAACGAGGATCATTAATTTTTTTTTAAATTTTTTGATTATGGCTTGATTCCACACCGTATTTTCAGTGCAAGTATGGAATTTTCAGCATGGATATCGGTAGCCCAAATTCAGGCCGACCATAGATATCGGGTGTGCGCCGGCAGGGGATCGAACCCTCGACCATGTGCATGGTCGGCGAGAGTCCTAACCACTGTGTCACCGACGCACAGGCTAGCTTTACAGTTTCACAGCTTCACAATTGATATGATTATGAACAATAAATTTTGTTCGAAACGTCATCCAGTAAATAATACTGCTTCATTGTGTGATATATTTAATAAACAAACTAATATGGAATAGCTTTACAGTAGTTCTGAGGTAGCCGTCAAGATAAGTATTCAGACGGGCCATATTTTATTGAAAAATTAGTAGTTGATGACTCACTTCGAGTATCTTACCGTAAATATTTACGTCACTGTAATAAATATGAATGCTATACAGCATGAAACTCCGCACTATCATACCGAATCCACCTGTCATGGGTAGTAAGCAAACAAAGTGTTGGACGTATAATCCTAGGTTTAGGTGAAACACCCTAAGGTAAGATGAAGGCGAAATGTTAATTAGTGTTAATATAAAGTTCTGCTTATGCTAATAGTCGAGTGAAGTGCATCACGTAAGCCAATCATGTGTACCAGCGTTACTGCCTGACTACCCAAACTTGAACAAACTTAACAGTTGAAAAAGCTCTCAAACCAATGTGTTACAGCTCCAAAGGATTAAATTTTAACTATATTTGATCCGATTAGTTTTTCAGTCTACTTCCTAATAAGTCACTCCAAGTAGGAAGTTCTCAGTTGAAAAATAGAATGTGAAGATCTTGCGAACGAGCGACTTCGAGTGCGAATAGTATCATGAGAATGAATTCGTTAATCATGAGTTTTCAGATTCTACGAGATGTCGTAGTGTGCTTTAGTCACTTGTTGTTCCCCACCTTACACAGTACAGTCCAGTGCATCGTTTGCTTACATGCAATGAACTGTGACTTTTTTCCCATGACGGTTACAAACTGAACGGGAGATGCGTTAAACGCCAGACAGTTTCACCATGCGGACTGAAAAGTGCGAATAATTAACTTCATAAAATTAGTGCCTACCGAGCAGTCGCTCTTTTTTACTTGAATTTGTACAGTTATATTTACAGTGAATATTACTGTATAACACCGAGACTTTATCAAAATAAATTTTCTGCGTGATAGAATAACACTCTACTACAGTGCCCAAGTTTTATTCTTATATCAGTGTTTAAATGCTGTTGACAGAAGGCCATAAAAGCAGACTTCAGGACAACCCTGCAAGTTTATCTTAGTGGCAAATCTAGTACAGAAAATTCACCTGTAGAAATCAGTCTGGACTGACGACTATTATTGATCTCTAGTAATAACTTAAATATTTTCCAAGAGTAGTCCATGTTTTCATGTCTGTTATTGAGTACCTTAGTATATTAAATCTCGATTTGGCTTACTAAAATTTTCGTCTTTTCTAATTGTGAATTTTCACAGCTGAAGAACCTGCAGAACCAATTGTGCAACCGCCACCGAAGCCTAGTGTCTATATTCCTGCTCCTTTGAGACAAGGTGGTAGTGCTTTTGGTGTTAGTGCAGCCAAACCGAATGTTGCTAGTACTATGGACTTCCCTTCTTTAGATGCAGTTGTGAGCGAGCCTCAGAAAAAAGAAACCCAGCCAGAGACTAATAAAGATGACGATGGTGATTCGTGGCAACAGGCAGGTGTGCGTCGTCCTAATCCGGTGGCAAGTGTTCCGCCTGTAGCCATTAACACAACACCATCCGCTTATGTGCCTCCATGTTTGAGACAAGCAGCAAATCAAGGAATTGTAAATATTGGTTCGTCTCATTCGCAAATTACATCTGCCCCTCGCAATGACCCACCCTCTCGTTTCGATTGTGACAGTGGATTTAAACGCAGTGTCCCAGAAGCCTCAGGATTTCGCGAAGTATTTTCTTCTGGTGGAGGTTGGGCTAGGGGGGAAGTTATTAGTGGGGGTTCTGGTAATAGTTCCACAGTAAAACAGACACCAAATCCCCCCAACGTGAATTCTCAAACATCTTCAGAAAACACAAATGGATGGTCACGAAATGTGAATGTAAAAACTTATAAGTGAGTTATGCTGATGAAAAGATATTTAAAATTCCTTATTATTTTTTTATAATACTGTTAATTTTTGCTATTTGAGTATTGCTAACTAGAGTGCTTATTCAGTTTATATTCAAATATACTCCGTCTAGAGCTTCCATTATCTATTGTAGTAGTATAGGTTGAATCGAGTGGCTGTTATGAACTCATTTTTAAAAGGTGAGAGAAAGTATATTTTTGACCATTAAGTCAATTTTTTCGTGAAAAGTGATACAAATATCTACTAGAAACTCACTGCCTGCATAAATAATACAGTAAATATCCTTATTTTAACAGCAGTTACAACAAGATTTCTTCTAAACACCAACACCTTGAATAGGCCAGCTAACTTAGTATGAATTTTTCACCCTGTGGTGAAAAGATCATCAAAGAACTAACTACTCCATAATACATCTTCTAGTCAGTTTCTTAAATGATGCCTACTTATCTTACGATAAAACAAACATTGAGTGAATCAGATTGAGCTAACCTACCAGACAGCTTAGTTTGTGAAGTCTGGAGTTCGTGATGTACCTGAATTTGAATACCTGTGATAGAAAGTGTACAAGGTAATTTATGTTGAACTCTGTTTGAATGAAGAATATACTGATCTTTATATAATTAGTCAATTTATTGTATGTTACAAACCTTGACAAAGCATTGTCAAAAAGATATATATATATATATTTCGAAGACTGATAAATATACTTTCGGTTTCACGTCATTCTATGTCCTCGCTCAAGTAGTGCGAGCCATAGAAACAGGTAGCTGTGGTATACGTTGACAGAGTGAGAGTAGCTAACAGTCTCATGATCACCATATCCATGTCTAGCTTAACGATGGTATTTCAGTGTCTCAATGTGATTGAAAATATAAGAGTGGCGAAATCATAAAACAGCTTTATACAGACTTACTCTCTTGTTTTTTTATTGTAATTTTCCATGTATTAGGAATATATGACTGTAAGCAATAAATTGCTCTTGTAACGTACATCATCCAGTTAATTAATACAGTATCACTGTGTTATGCCAAGTGAATTGATTTCATATAGAATAGTATTCTATCACACAGTGTCCGGGTTCTACTCTTGAATCCGTAATACCCCTGTCGCTAACACCTTGTTGGTCTTCGATAGTTTTGAAACTAGTTTGTGATTGTTGATGTTCTTAACAGGTGGTGTTTCTGGTGCACGTAGCATTATTCTCAGATAATGGAGAAGATTTGTAGCTCAGGTGGATGATATTGTTCTTTGAGGAGCTGGTTGGTTCAGCTGTGAAGCTTTCGTCGTCGTCCTTCTAGACAACATCGCTTCAGCTCAGGTTTTAGTATAAAATGCCAGGAGATGCAATTACATTATCATTCATGGAGAATTTAAATATGTTCATATTATACTGAAACCTGCACTGAAGATGTTCAGAAGGGGGACGACGAAAACCTCGCAATTAAATCAACCAGCGCTTCAGAGAACACAACTAATTCAGTTATCCTCAAGTCGTAAACGAGACATACTGTTAAGTTTAAGACGATATTGTGTTACTCTGTGGTGTTTGCTAAGTAATAATGATGCCAAAAAACGTTTCATGTTAGAATTCAGTTCATAGTTTAACCAGACTGTTAATTTCAGTTTCCGATATAAAAGAAAGTTAAATGAAGCTGTTAATTCGTATGGCAGTTGGAAAATTAATGATACTGATATAGAAATCAAGTCTGAAGTTGAGTATCTTGGATTAATTCTTTCTTCTGACCTATTCTGGTCTTCCCATGTCTTAGCGATTTCCAAAAGCATATTTCGTCTGACTTACATTAAGAAGTTAAGGCACTCAGGCATAACTCAACTCCTCCTCTTACAGTTTGTCAACTCGTATATCTTGCCTATTCTTCTTTACTGTTCACTCTTATTCTTTGCTGGATTGCTTAAAAAAGACTATGTCATACTTCGTAGAACTCTGAGGATTGTCAGTAAGGCGAGTGGTATCCCATTGGGCCATATCGTTAACCTTGTTACTGATAGACACTTGATTTCATGCAACAAATTTGTTAAAGGAATCTTATCAGACTGTGAGCATCCACCTTACATGCAGCTCCAACCTTGTGTCTCCTCAGGTAAAACAAAAAGTCTTTTCAGAAGACTATGCACGTACGTCTAAGTATGAAAATTCCACTTTACCATATTCGGCGGCACGTACTTTATGTGATAAAAATAGTGTTAGGCATGAACTAAATAACCTTCTTTGCACTAATAAGTAAACCATTTCCTCCACCTTTACAACATCAACCTTTATTGTTATTGTACTTCTTGTATTTATAATCCTTTAAGTTTTTTGTTCTTTGTTTATTTTTTCTTAAGTGTGAACATCATTTAAGCTGTGTTATAACTTTTAATTTTGTATTTCCCCTCACCATACTATATCAGCAGAACATTAGATCCAATAATCTATAATATACTAAGATTTCCAAACTGAATCCCCAGTAATGTTTGAAACAAACTCACTGTTATTATTATTATTCTCAATTTGTACTACATGTATTTTTGACTTTATATCGTAAATGTGGACAAATTCGTCTGGTTAATTTTGTTATATTATTTAATTTTATTTATATTTTGAGTAAATCAGATGCGAAATTGTGACAAATGCTGAGAAATCCATCCTGTATTATTATTACGGTTTTCGGAATAAAGTGAATTCTTATTATTATAATTACATACATAATTTATGATTTCTATTTAAATTCCTTTCAGGGATAGTGCACGGGAGAAACCTGGACTTGAAATCGATTTGAGGAATAGGTTCACAGCATTCAGTAGTGAAACATGAATTCACTCATCATCGGTTTTGCAATCTGATTTTTTTTGTCGTGTGGAAATAGTTATTATTCAGGATCTATGGCCTTGACACTGTTGAAGTACAGTGATTAAATGAAACCACTCTACAAGCTTAACAATGCTGCGAGTACAAGTTAACAATTTTCTGTTTTTACTAGGAAGTCAGAATTTGTTTTTGCTTACAATAACAGATAGTTTTATTGCCGAATACTTATTCTGTAATCTTTTGATGGGTTTGGTTGCGGTTATTAACTTCTCACAAATTTTATCTTACAAACGTGTTCCATATGTTCAACAGAAAAGTGTTTTTGTTTTTTATTGCCAATGATTTTCAAAAATCCACATTATTTTGCCCTTATCAATCAATAATTTTACATCCTAAGATTATCGAGTTACACTTTGTTGTTGATGGTGAATAATACCGTTGTAGGATAGTGTTGTATAATCTTTTATCTGCATAAATCTGAATTTTAATGTGTACATGAAGTGAGTAGTTTATTTATTCACTTTGGTTTCAATTCCTGGAATTGTTTTGTAAAAGATTATTTAAATTATCAGTCAATTGAATTAAGAGTTAGTTTGTGTAGTTTGGCTTTGTTTTCGTGTAAACTTATACAAACGTTTGGATTTTTGTTTATATTTTGTATTTATATTTATCGAACAAGATGCGCTCCACATCTTCAATAGTTTTGCTTTTATTTCATACAATATCGAATTAAACAATCACATAACTGGTGTTGAATAAGGCTTAAATTGCAAGCTAAGTCTTAGAGAGTAGCAGGACTGAATAGCTGTAGATATGTACCACTTTCTGGTCAATCTGCGTCACTATACCACGTTGTAAATAATTGAGAAATAAGACTCAGTCCCAGTTAAAAAAGGTGAGCTTATCAAGTGTGTAGATTATATTTACCTTAGGTAGCTGCAGTAAGCGTATCCTCTGAATGTTTTACCCTGAACCGAGCTAGGTTGGTAAAAGGTGTTCGTGCTATAGTAAACATATGAAGTCACCAAGTAGAGTTATTTTGATTTCCTAATTGATATCGGCAAAGCAACGGAAATCGATAGTAACAATCTAGGTAATGTCAACATTGCATATTTGACTTGAAGTCTAAGATCTTAGTGAAGAATTAACTACAAACGCCAGTAAATTTAAACAATCTATTACTTGTTCTAGTGGCATTTTCATCAGCCACTCAGTTTTAATATATATGTCTTCAGTTGATTCACTGATGATGGATAGGAGATGCTCGGTGCCTAGTACGCGCAACCTGTGGCAGCAGTTCGTAAGCTCTGATTTCAGTCTGTTAAAAGAATGATCTCTAAACCTATTTGTGTCGCTGAAAATTGTAAGTATGTGGCCTTTTTCACTCTTCTACCATTTTGATCATACTTCAAATGAAGTCTTGGGTGGTGGTTTTGAAGATAGGTGTGTTTCGGTTTGAGTATCCGTGCGGTACCCCAGCTCTGACATGATAGTTTTATTTTATCCTGGGAAATGCATTATGGATCCTTATACTCATTCACCTAATCCTTGCCTATTGCCGTATGTATTGTCTTGACCTTTTGCTATCATGTATGCATTTGTTTTTAAGTGTGGGGCTGCAGCTTATTTGTCTGGGCACTCAACTTCCAACTGGTGGGTCATGGGTTTAAATCCCACTCCACCTTACTAGATTTAGGCAGCCAGGTTGTGTCATTATACTTCGTATAATAAGTGTGAATTGTTGCCAGTCTCGTGGAATGGCAAGTGGTTGTTGAGTAAAACTACTGCGATTGGTTTTAAAATTGTACTCTATATATCCGCTCTTCATTGATTTGTATCGTAGTTTGTACGGTACGAAGTCGGTGATTAAAGGTCACCCTCAGAAGTCTGTCGTCCAAAATGGCTCCTAGCACCCTATTTTTACCTACTAAGTGCACATCTTTTAGCAAATCAGGCAAGAAGCAAGTTTGACAGGAGTGCTGAAACCTTGGTTATTTATGCGCACTACTATATCTCAGAAGCCTGTGTGCTAAGTGCGAATGAAGTGCACTGGTGTAGAGCTTAGGCTCAGAGGAGAATGTATTACTTTCAGGTTGAGTGGTAGCTATTTTTTATGCATGTGTTCGTAAGTCAAAATCTCTTTCTAAGCTTTGTTAACTTCTAACATAGCTATTCCTACTGGACCACTTGGTATCCTTTGTAACTCAGGTTTGGCCTCTCACGTTTTTCTCAGCTTCCCATGGTATGGTTACTTATTGGAAAACGACTCTTTCTAGAGTACACGTTAAACCACTGTGCCTTGATGGTCATCACTTTAAGCAAATCTAGGGAAGTGATTTGTGTGATGCTACTTTTGAATCCACTGTCTAACCTAGGTGGTTTTATGACTAGTTTCTGATAATCAGTTGAAAATCAGCAGGTCTTATAAGCTACTCTGATGTCAGTAAATTCATTTTTCGGTTTAGGACTGCACTTTCACTGACGAGCGCTGGTTTTTTATGGATTTACAACCTGGGCTGATTGGTTGGTAGTTGATTTCGTAAGCCAATAAACTACATCTCCACGGAGATAGTATGCTTCACAGTCTGTAGAATATTGCATTTATGAAAAAAAAACAGGCATGGTGTTCACAACATCTGAACAAGATTGGAGCATATATCATTAGTTGCTGTTTCAAGTCATTGGTAGTAAAAAGTCTGGTGTCGATTAGAGAATTTTTGAAAATTCAAGACATGTCATATCGGCCAACAGTGTTGATCGAATACCGTAAGGCCCAGTGAAGTACTTTGGGGAAGCGACAGTGTCACTTGTAACGGGGTAGATGTCTTAGTGGAGGTGGTATTTAGAAGCACTCAGTCAAGACAACTTATCCGTGATCTTCTTAAATAATGAATGTAATTCAATTCGAAACAGTGTTGTCCATCCTTAAAAGGCCTGTGCGACAAATAACTCTGTATGGATCACACGGAAATGTGATTCCACATTAGCTCTGGAGTAGGTCTATAACCTGGAAAAAAGTTTAACTATTATAAAGCAGTTAATATTGATGCACTGTGTTGTGTTTCAGTGCAAATTACACATGCTAAAGTTGGAAGGAGGTTCAGCCTTTATTTAATCACATCAGGCCAACCATTGAAGGTTGTTTTACTTAGTTCTCTGAAACAGCATGGTGAAAGTTTAGTGCGATTTCTAGTCATATTCAGGAAACTGTAAAGGATTGACAGACGGACTGGTTTCAACGCAGGACTTTGCACAGATGTACACCAGTTCAAGTTGCCACATCTCAATAGCACACAAAACAGGAGAATAGAGTAAAGAGAGGTAATAAACAGAGATATGAGGAAAAAAGAATAGTAATATCGAAGAACAATACAGTTTTATTGGGTATTATAAGTTACAAAGAGTCAATGCATCTGCGCCAGCTATTGAGAACGATTTTGAGCCATATTACCAGTTGTCTCCAGCCACCATCGTTTCCCATCATCCCGAGGACCCCGACCAGGAAGTCTACACCTCCCAATGTGGCTGGCTTAAACTAACTGTTGTGGATTTCATTGATTGATGCTATGTTTTGGTTTGACCACCACTGACTCTTTTCCAACCTGATCCTATGTCAGTTAACATTGCCCGTCGACGAAGGCGATGAATGGCTAGGCATGCATTACACATGTTCTAACCATCTAAATTGGTGTAACTTCATAAAGGATTAATCAATTTGGACATCTTATGACCCTGTCACATAATTTCAGTTTGACTAATAAGAGTTGATCGCCTGCATACCACTCTGATGTGTGAACTCTTTTATCCTCTGTGTGTGTGTAGGAATTGGCCAGCGATTGAATCCGTGATGTACTGGACTATTCATTGTCTTTATTGTGTTGATGTCAAAATTATTTCTTGTGGCACATCTATTCGTGATCACGTATTCAGTCTTTGTCCAAAGGAATAAACATAATATGATATGTAGACAATAGTTGTTTGACATCTCTCAAATTCTTAAATTATAACAATAATAAAGATGTAATAGCGAATAGAATATCAACTAAAATTAGGGAAACTTCACAAAAATTCCGGATTATTCAAACCTGGATGGCCAAGGTAGTGATAATGACAACTAACTTCTTTTGGATGCATAAGTTAGGCTTGTTAATATGGATCCCCACAGCCTCAGCAATATTTAGTAGTCGAACTCTTTTAAAGCAAAATTGAGATTCGTAGGTATGCGGTAAATGACCCTGAAGGCATGATTAACGTCAATCTTGTGATCTGTCTCCACAAGATGAGACAGAATAGCGCTGCGAATAGATTTTGTTTGTCCTTTGCTTAACCAGGCAGGGTGATGTTCGGAAATTCGACGAGAAACACGCCTAATTGTACGGCCTATGTAACTGGCTCCACAGGAGCAGTTAAATTGGTAGATACACATAGAAGAGGCGAAATTAGGCAGTTTGTCTTTTATTCCCGAACGCAGAAGAGGAGTGGTTTTAAAGATACAGCGTAATCCAGCAGCAGGGAATGCTCTTTTTACCTCATTTCTAAGGAGCGGTGTTAGTATCTCACTGGTGCTGTCTCCTAGGAACTGCATCTGTAAGAATAAGGCCTTTTTTGGAACTGTTGGTAACTTCGTCTGCTTTGGTTTCAGATTCTTATCAATAAACTTTTCAGGATAACCATTCTCACTTAGCAACCGTTTAATATTGT